AACCTCTTTTTTCCTCGACTACGACTCTCTGGTAAAGATGCTGGAAGCATGTCTTGGAGGCAGAGGTATCAACGGGTAGATCTGAGTGAGACGAGGCGACAACTTTCTTGTAGAGATCGAATATATGGCTGAACGTTGTGACTGGGTTCAGAAACGTGGCAACGATGGTGATTAGGATGACCGAGTTGCGAACAGGTCCACCAGAACTGCTGGTCTAGGAGTGTGTTGTGAGGGTTGAGCGGCAGGACAGAAGCCTTTGCATGAAGATGCTCGATAGGCGACATTTTATTGCAATCTGTGATCGTGTGAAGGGCAGCGTTCTGTGCTGACTGTAGGTGGTGGAAGCTGGAAGAGCTGATCGTAAGAGACCAGATTGTTGTCGCATAAGTGGGGTGGTGCTTGGCGAGCGCTTTGAATGTGGTCGTCAAATCTCTTCCTCGCGGCCCCAGGATTTGTCCTCTGGAGCCTTGGGGATCTTAGCGCAGTGGCTCACTTTACCTGCAACCTCCCTGGCATGGTCCGCAAACGTGAAAAGCGGATTGAAACGCACGCCAAGGAGCTAAGGCTTACGGACGAGTGGTAAGGACGCAACGTTGACGATGATGGCAAGGTGACGACTGAACTCCTTCGCGCCCATAGTGAAAACAATGACGGACGACTTGGCTGCTGATATTGTCATTCCACGCTGGGTAAGGAAGTGTTCGACATCAGGCATTAGCTCTGAGAGGAGCTGCGCACGCTGGTCGATGTGATGGTGCTGGCAGAAGAACGTAACATCGTGCGTGTTGTAACGGTAGCCAAGACCGAGTTGTCACCACCTACGTTCGTCTCGTGTGAGCCCCAAGGAAGAACACGGGGAGAAGTTGGCGAAAGCAGAAGTCTTTGAGTGTTATCGGTACAACATATTTAGGGCAACAAACTCATGTAAAACTGTCCATCGGGCCAATCAGCTTCTGTTCTGGCACAGGCGCTGGCATGATTGGCTGCTGACTTAGTGACTGACTTCAGCATGAATGTTAAATTATCGATTAATTGCCTGGCACGACGCGTCCGTTCGCGTGTAGGCCGATCGATCGCCTACTGTGAGCGTGGCTGCTGCCTGTATGCTAGCTACCTAC